TTCAATGGCTCCCTCTTAATATGGCCTCTATGACACTCCCACCGAGTGGAATCCGAGCCCAGTGTGGCTGCACACCTAGAGGTGCCCCCGGCCACACCAGCCATCCGCTCAGCCGCTTCCGGTCTTCTTGACTCGGTCATGACACCGGATCCAGGTGGAGGAGGGGAGAGTGCAGTAGATGCTGCGCAAGTCAGCTATCACTGTAAACTAATTTACGCATAAGTCACCGTCCTTGTTCTCACCTTGCAGTGGAGCACACAGTTGACATCGTCGGCGACGACGGCTGAGCTCTACATGTCTTGCGGCTCCCAAAATGCTCGAGATGGGCCGAGAAGTAACTTGCTCGTGAATATGTTCATACCGTACCGCACTTCCACCACATCTACCTTACTCTCTCTCTCTCTTTCTCTCTCTGCCACTACCCATGTCAGCGAATTACCTCGCTAAAGCGCTCGTGCGAGCCACTCAAATCCCCATCACACAGCCCGTGAGGACAATTAGAGCTATTACCGGCTGAGAGGGGTTTACTTTCTCTAACCTTATTAGAGTTTGTCCACAGACCCTGTCTTCGCGGACTTTTAGTTTTGGGAAACCTTGAGTTCTTGACCACTGCACCTCGAAGCATTCTTGAGCTAATAAAAGCATAGTCAACTGCTCTGTCAATCTAGAATAAAATTTTCCATCACTGTGCTAGGCCGGGAATTCGGGAATGCTTCGAAAGTTCAAACAGAGCTTAAATCGACATTCCACCCTCAATGAACCATCTGCCTAAGCGTACTTGGGACAACCAGCAGTCTGGATCCAGGGTCGACTAGTCATCGACGCGCGGGCCCTGGCTCTTTATCAGTGGTCAGGATTGTCAACGATGGTTTGTGTGCAGTGTTTATCGTTCCAGCGGGCACCAATCTCCATCATCGGGCAGTCGTTTTAGAGCACTCAGTCTTGAAAACCCCCAGGCCTCCAATGCTCTACTTGAGCTGTCAAGTAATTGTGCAGTCTGCTCTTTGATATTACCGCAACCGGTAAATCATAAAGACCGCAGAGCGTTGATGACTGACTGAAGGTTGGGGCTCGACGATCCAGGGGACACAGTCTCCTGAAATTGGTCTGTCGGTTTCCCTATCACGAATCAGCAACCAAACAGATGACGCCGGCAACCTCGCTTTTGCAGCGAGATGAGGAGACGGGCCTAGAGCGGCACTGCGGCGACAAGAGCGTAGTTGTCGCGATGGTATGGTCGACAAGAAAGAGGGAAGACGGATTGGGTTGAATAACCTTGACTGCTGAGTAAGTGTGACCCTGCAAACCGCCGCCGCCGCAAGCGGTTTCTCCAGGCAAGTTCTGTTTGTGTCTGCCGTTGAGGTGATTAGCTTCCAGCGCGTGTGTGCGCCGTTCGCTCTGTCTCAGTGGTCCCCGGCCAATCAGAGAAGGGACGACGTTGATTGGCTTCGAGCACTCGCGAGACCAGCGACAAGGCTTGCGGGATCCCAGCAGGGAATTGACAGGGAGCGTTGGACGGACGAAAGGACAGCATGACGAAACGGAGGAGAACAAGGATGCGCGGAATAGCACATAACTCCATGGTCCGAACGACAGTTAGGAATCAAGATGCGTTAGAGCCGAGCGCAGATGAAAAAATTGACGATTGAAAAAGTCGAAAAAACATAACGTAAAGCATGAAACAAATTTGAAAATACTTAATGGGTAGACAACTTCATCGTTTCTCCCCCAAGCTAGTACTTTTTAGTCAGGGGAGCGACTAAGAGGATCCGAGCGCTACTCCGCGCATCCCATTCCGTAGGCATTCTTGCAGAATACAGCGAGTGTAGTAGGTAATTTAACCTAATGTTAGCTATTCAAATGTGCTGATGAATTCATCCCTCCTCGGTGTGCAGAAGGTTTTTCGTGAGTCTTCAATAAAAGTATCAGTCAGACTGTCATACTCTGGTAGGCGTGCCCGCACGGAGTGAGCTACTGGGCATTCACTGCGATATTTGGGCGGGTAGAGGTGTCGGTTGTCGTGTATCGACTATCCTTATGAATTCGCCGACCGCATCAGCTTCATACTTTCTGTAGTCTGCCTTAGGAACTGCCTCACCTATCACAATCCATGCGATTGGCGAGAAAGCCATCCTTACTTAGGGTTAATTAATCCACGTGAAAGCATGCTGACCCCAAGTCGTAGACATACACCCTCATGACGTAAGTTGTTTCCGGATGAAACTAAATTGCCCGTCGGTAACTGCTAAATTCTAATTTTATACTGGAGAAGCGATTTTGGTGGGGATATTGGGAGTCAGGGATGTGAGACCAACTGTAACCACACATAATAAATTCGGGACGTCTAATGTCAGAAGTCAAGGAGCTGTGGGGACTGGTTTATTCTGTGCACAGGTCACCAGTAACAATCGGGAGATGGCACCCAAAAAAATCCATTACCTAGAAATATTACCTTTACCAGTGAACGCAAACGCCTTCAGGTTCTATCAGCAGTTGAAGGCCTACTTTCACGCACCACTTGGACTTTCCCCGACGGCCTGACATGGGCTGGCCGAACGAACATCACAGGAGGTTACATGGACGGCGGTCGCTGTTACCCAACTTTCCCCATCGTGACACACGTACACCTGAATATGCGGCATACATTCGCATTACGGCAGTTTATTACAAAAAAATCACTTTTAAATAGGATAAGTCTACACAACATGGGACAGGAACAGTTCCCAGGCATCTGTCATAGACATGGCACTGAGGCCAAACCAAAGACGATATTGTACTTCGTGTATGTGAGACCACACAGCTTGACCACATACAGGGCCTCACTCGTGGAGTTTCCTTTTCAGTCTACTCCAGTATGCCTCAATGGCATTGGTGTGCCGTCCGATGGTAGGGTCCTTGAAGTTTTTTGAGTGGTTAACAGAGAAATGTCGATAACCTTATGAGGGAAGAAGATTATACGCCTCCCACTCGTCCGTTACCACTATACTGCCTTTGACGGCCCATTTTGTAATAACGGAACGGAGAGCGGGCCAAATTCGATCATCCACCTGTTCAAATAAGGCTTTCCGTCGACTAGTATCGTACATCCCCACCAGCCACCACCCATAAAACCCCTATTACCACCTGCCCCGTAAGACAGGCTGCTTTGGTTAGGCGGATTTTTTGGGTGCCATCTCCCGATTGTTACCCCCGTCAGGTAGCCGTGAGTTGGCTGTTTGCTTGCGTGTCAGAGCAAAGTCTCTGGTGGGGTGGCGTGGTGCTTACACGAGACGTAGTATCTAACCGACGTGACTCAGTGCATTTGAACCAGAGACTCCCCAGCTCAGGCCCGAGGGGTTACCGTGCGTCATGCGGGTGTCGAAAGTGGTGTGGTGTCAAGACAAAGATGCCCAATCAAAAGTCAGGAAAGACGGAGTAAGCTGGACAGTTTTGGAAGTGCGCACACAAGGGCTCTGTGGACAGTCTCCGTAAGCGTGCTCTCCAGGCAAGTTGTTGTCTGTGTCCGCCTTCGAGGTGCTGAGATCCAGCGCGTGTGTGTGCGCCTTTCGTTGTCTCCGCGTCCGCCAGCCAATCAGAGGGAGCACAGCGTTGATTGGCCCGGAGGACTCGCGGGGCTAGTGAAAAGCCCCTCGCGTCCCAGCAGCGTATCGAGTGTTAGGCGGACAGGAAGGCAGCGCGGCAAGGCGGAGGAAAGCAAGAGGGCGCGAACTGCCACATGGCGCGTCTGCACGGTTGGCATGTGAAAGGGGCCTTGAAGCGTCTGCTACAGTACCAAGGTAATATGGCACACGGAACGCACCAGATTCACTCAACTGCCACTTAGGCCGTCGTTTCCGACGATGGCCACTGTGCCTGCTGCGCCTTGCTATTAAGTGCAGGTTACCCGGCGAGATTTTCGCCGGAAATGCTGATGAATGTCGGTCAGTTATTTACCAACGCATTCGTTGAGTAAGGTGATCGAAAGCCAGCGACTAGGTTGTATTAGAACGTTGCCCAAATACACCCAGATATAACCAAGTGACCAAATTTTCTAACTAAAAATAATCGAAAGGCTTCTTCGATAGCAGTATTCTACGCATTTGTAAAGCCCGTGTAACCGCGCACTCTCAAAACCAACGATCACCGAGGGTGCAACCGAGTGCTACGTCCAGAAGTATATTTTTGCTGCGAAGGTGTACGGTTAAGGCATTTTTCCCATCCAATTTTTCGAAGCGGAACAGCAAGAAGTCGAAATCAGGCAAAAAGCAACGTCGTCTGCCTCAAAAGTCGACTCAGGGAAAATTAGATTGGTTCCGGCACTGTTCCGTAAAAACTGATGGCTGCTAATTTGTTTAAATGAAAAACATTAATAGCGCTTATGTACAATCGTTTATCTTAACGTTTCCATGTGTTCCTGGCATATGCAAATATTGCATAAAATGCTTCAAAAAGATCCGCCAGTACATGGCCATTGCAAAGTTTGTGCATGGTGTGCGGTTTGGTTTTATGTGATCTGTTTCCCGTCAATAGGAATTGCAAAAAAGGGACTTGCGAGCCTTCCCATTCCTTGGTGCATTTGCGATTTTAGAAGTCTGTTTTATCGTGTGCAAATACAATAAAAGTAGATCTCCAATGTTTTAATTTAAGGCAAACACTTACCCTTATCTGTCAAAAGGGCTGCATTATTCGGCGGAACGCTCCCATTTCCCCTTAATTGAACCGTAGAACAATTATGGACGTTAATACTTGGCCGAAAAACAGCCACCGGACCACTTTTGGGGAGGAAAACTGTAAAAGAAGTTCGCTTAATTGACAAAGAGCATATTCATCAAATCATTCGTTGTGAACTTTGGTTTTATTCAGAGAGTAGGTTTATGTTCGTGCTAAACATTCAGAAAAATGTCAACATTTATCATCACAACAACAAGCAACTTCTGGTGAGGAAGGAATTCTAACGTCGACAGAAAGGTCGGACATAGGGAAAGGAACCCTCTCCCGCCTGCCTGTGATGACGGGTTCGGTTAAGAAACCGAACCGTTCGTTTCACTGATCGTATCATCATCATCATCATCATCATCATCATCATCATCATCATCATCATCATCATCATCATCATCATCATCATCATCATCATCATCATCATCATCATCATCATCATCATCATCATCATCATCATCATCATCATCATCATCATCATCATCATCATCATCCTCATCATCATCATCATCATCATCAGCAGCAGCAGCATCATCATCATCATCACCACAACCAACACCACCACCACCACCACCACCACCACCATTATCGTCACCTTCTTTTTCTTCTTCTTCTCCTTCTTCTTCTTCTTCTTCTTCTTCTTCTTCATCTTCATCATCTTCTTCTTCTTCTTCTTCTTCTTCCGAACTGCTTCCTCTAGCTCGCCAGTTCGCTTTGCCTGTCCTAATTGCTGTCTAAATGACTACAATGGTAGGACGTGGCGCTCCCCGATCGCGCTACGGAGCTCACTTGTCCCGTTGTACCTTGGGGATCTCCACCTCGAGTCCAGACAAGGGAGACTGGACTGGCCATTTCTGGCTTATTAGCCGTCGTCAACCAGTCATACACAAGCCCGAGGTGTGGAACACCCGTGGCTCGAACTCGTGACATGTTAGAAGTCCACACCTCTAACCAATGAGCCATGGGATCGTTGTCCTGTCGGTTTCGATCGAGAATATACAATGGTAGGGGGCGCTCACAGATGGCTCTTACGGAACTCACTCGTTCCGTTGTGCCTTACGGGCTCTCCCTCTAGCCTAACCATCAGTCGCATAGTGGCGCGTAGTATAGGCAGAGTAGTACTACCGACAAAGGGGAGACTTAAATGGGCTTTCACCTTCAATCTAGGTTGTCACCCAGATCCTGTATTGTCAGCTTCAGAGCCAAAACACCAGGTACACCAGAAAGTTGGAAAGCATTTGAACCAGTCTCCAGGTCCCCGTCTGAACGTGAGGTCACTGAGACGATAAAAACCTCGGTGTCCCAGAAGTCATGGTCATCTACAGGGTTTGAGGCCTTTTCCCTGTCATACGCGTGTGATTCGCCTGACTGATGTTAGTGTCATTCTGAACGTGTTTCCAGAAGCCCATAACCATTTTCAATAAGTTTAGTTTTTGCAGGAGATGAATGGTTCCCGGTAACTGATATGTGATCATAGGAGTTCCAACTATGCTGAACGTAAACTGAGCGTATGTCTAGAGAATGCAAGAAAACAAATGTGGTCATCCCCGTTAACGGTGATTTATTTGAAATCGCTAATTACATTAGGTATTTTATTGACCTAGTAGGCTGACTCCTCTCCAACTTTCATCGACTCTGCCTGCAGTGACTAGTTGCTACGACGACCAAACCGTTTTTAAATTGGTCCCACAAATGCGGAAATCGATAATCGATCGCCGAGAAATCGAATGGTACAGAAGTCACAATTTCACACGTTTAGAAACGTGCCATCGATCTTCCTCACGAAAAGAGCAAATCTTAGTAAGGAGTCGATATTGGAACAGGGGAAATGAGTAATCTTCGAGAGTAGTTTCCTGTGAAAGTGACTAATGGTGGCACTTACGTTGGAGAGCAAGTCAATCACTTAACTTCTGTCACGTCTCATAATGTTTTGTGTAATAACTGTTCCGCACGTGAATAGAAAATATTGCAGTAGCTGGGCTACCTCATGTGCTGTTAACTGTAATCCCGAAATCCGTCTTCAGTTTGAAAGGATTACCTAGGAAACAGAGTAATCCTAATATACTTCGGTCATGTCAGAATGTCCATTCTTAAACGAGCTCCCTCCCGGCCACCTGCAAAAAAACTGTGCTTTAAAATAAAGGTTTTTTTTCTCATTGGTTTTCAGTGTCTTTGCAAATGCAAAAATATTCTTTTTTACCCATTGGGTTGCAGGTTAACTTTCTCCGGCTCTTATATTTGGACAAACGGTGTGTTCCGGTCTTAGAAAGAGGTCAACTTATGCGATTCTCGAGACCGTAAGATGTAATTTCATTTGGCACCGTATTCGTCCATTAATTAAGTATACAGCATTGTTTGTCAAGCCCTATATGACATCTTCACTGTTACATTCGCAAATATACGATTACATTTACATGGTAAATATACAGTCTGTAGTTTGAAATCCCTGACTCCCCGTTTGACGACAGTTCTGTTTCGAAATTTTTCGGCAATTTAAAATTTATTTAAGAATCAAAAGATGACTTTTTTCAAAAACAAGAATCGAAGATGTAATTTGCCATCCTATGAATGAAGCCCATGGTATTTTAATGCGTCTTTCGAGATAATATACTTAAATTTGGGAGGGCATCAGCAATCAGTGAAACGAAATTATACTACTTAAGTAGCCATTTTTAGAGGAGGCCGGCTTTTGGAGGGGGTCGGAACGAAGTTCGTTCAAAAGCCGGCATCCTGACATGAATTAAATATTTTTTTAGACAAGGACGCATATCAATCAGTAGTAGAGGCCTACTTGAGCAGAATTTCCGAAACAAAAACACGGTTATAACTTCTGTTAGCATCTCATGAGATAGCACACCTACAGTGCGTGACCTTTCTCATGAAATGTTGGCTGAAATTTTGAAGTACGTCTTTGATTAGGAAGGATTACTTGGTCGCGTTTGTAATACTGATTATCTTACGGCATACTCTTATAACATTCCGGACTTGGCAGGATGTCGGCTTTTAAATGCACTTCTTTTCAATCTTCTGTAGAAAACGTGCTCGGTAAAAAATGACTACATAAGTGGCATGCATTTTTCTCATTGATTTTCGATGGTTTTGAAACTTCGACCATATCTTATAGAAACCACAAACAAAAATGTGCTTTCCTTTAGTCAATCAATAGAAAATCACGTCTTCTTTGTATTTTATACTTAAGGAAGGAGTATAATTAGGTTTTAAAAAAGTTTCTGATTATGAGACTTTTTAAGACCGCGATATGTCCATTCACATAGCATCGTACCTGGCCGTTTACCACTGCTCCTCATGAAATGTACAACATGGTCCGCATTCATTGCAAAATTTTATGGACCCTGTATGATATCTCTTTAATGACATAGAAAAATATGGGATTTTCTTTACGCGGAACGCATGCACCGTGTAGAGTGTAATCTCTAAGCGCTAATGCACTGAATGATCAGGATCCAAATTTTTCCATCAATTAGAAAACTTTTTTAAAACCCAATTATGCTCCTTCCTTAAGTATAAAATTTATAGAAGAAGTGATTCTCTATTGATTAACTAGAAGAAAGCATATTTTGGTTGGCGGTTTTTATAAAATATATTTAAATTTTCAAGGCCATCGAAAATCGATGGGAAAATGCATGCTACTTAAGTAGTCTTTTTTACCGAGCACGTTTTCTACAGGAGATTGAAAAGATATGCCTTTAAAAGCCGACATCCGGCCGAGTCTAAAATGTTATAAGAGCATGCCTTATGATAATCAGTATCACAACCGCGACCAAGTAATCCTTTATAATCGAAAACGCATTTCAGAATTTCAGCCAACATTTCATGAGATAGGTCACGCACTATACTGTACTTCGTGGTTTCTAGATTCGCTTCCTCGACAGCTGATACGGAAATGAACTTTACTATACCCAGGGTGCAAACAAAACTATGCGGCCAAACTTGAAAAGCAGAGTACGAGCATTTTAACTTGTTTTCGAGCGGGAAACAACTATCAGAGTGGAGTTTATATAATGGCACCGGCACCATATAATCAGAAGTCATTCTGTAGCCGACAGAATAGCGCGACCTTTAGCCGAATGCCGGTGAGTTATTTACTGAAAAAAGCTTTTACTCGCAATAACTCCTTCATTAATTTTTAGTACAGACCTCGTTGTTTTCAGATATATTTCCAAGAAAACCGGTGACAAGGTGGACGTTGAACAAAAAACGCCAAGCAGGGAAGCGCAACAGTTGGTTAGATCGGGCCATGGTTTGCTGATACTGGCATAGCACATGATTCCGAACCTTCTGACTAGTGTGTGGTAAGGACAAGTGGAATGGCACCGCTACTGGAAGGTTACCATTCTCGGGTCTCATTGAATTTTCTTTATGTGATAAATATTCATCAGTGGCAACCAAACACAAAAATGACTAATCTTCAAGTGCATTTTCATGGGGAAGGGACTAATGGAGACGCCTTCTTTAGAGAGCAAATCCATTTCCTATTTTCTATTATTTCTCACAATCTTTTACGCAATAATTATTCCTCAAATGAAAATAAAATATCCCAGAAACCGTGTTATCTCATGAAATGTTAGCTGAAAATCCGAGATTTTTCTTCCATTTTAGCATAGTACTGACGGAGGGTCGTGATACAAATTGTTGTGTAGCATAATCTCAAGAAAACCCGGTCACGACAGGATGCCGGCTCTTAAACGAGCTCCTTTTTAACTGTCTGGAGTGGTGTGTACTTTCCTCATTAATCATAAATGTATTTGTGAATTCAAAAATGCTCTTTAGAAGACATGCCGGAAATACTCCTTCTTTACTAATTTGGTAGAAAATTAGTTTCCTTCGATTTTCGTATCTGTCGAAAGGGTATTTTTTGGTTTTAGAAAAGGTTCTAATTAGGCGATTTTTTAAGTCCACAAAATGTTTTTTTCATACAGCAGCGTATCTATCCATTTATTGATGTCGTTTACTAGGTATACAGCATGGTTCGAATCTGTCGCAAAAGTTGGCGAGCCCTATATGTGTGACAACGCTTGCGTGGTAAGTATACAGTTTGTAGTTTGGAAAACCTGAACGCACAGTTAACGGCAGTTCGGCTCCGAGAGGATGTACTCATGTACTTAAGTAGCCACTTTTGTAGATGGCGGTTGGTCAGGCGGCCGGAACGAAGGTCGTTCCGAAAGCCGGTATCCTGACATGAATTAAATGTTTCGGGATTATGATGTGCAATAACCATTATTAAAACCCAATTTAAGCAGTCGTTTCTAGTCAAAAACACGCTTTAGAATGCCGGTTAGCATTTCATGAGATAGCAAACTTGCTCTACTTCGTGGTTTCTAGACTCGCTTTCTTGAAAGCAGATATGGAGACAAACTTTGCGGTGCCCATGGTGAAAACAAAGCATGCAGCCAAACTTTAGAGGCGGGTTGCCAGCATCCTAATCGGCCTTCAATCAGAAAAAGACAATCGCAGTGAAGTTTGAGCAATCGCACAGGCACAATAAAATCAAACGTCCATTTGTAAACGACAGGTATTCCACACCTCGGAAATGGGTATGACTGTCTGACGACGACTAATACGCCAGAAATGACCATTCCAGTCTCTCTTGTCTTTGTCGGTGACGCCATTCTGCCTTTATCAGGCGTCGCTGTGTGGCTGCCGTTTAGGCAAAACGGAACGAGTGAATTTCGTAAGAACGATCGGTGATCGCCTCCTACCACAGAATACTGACTTCTAACTGAATGCCGGTGAGTTGTTTAAGGGAAAAGCTTTCAATCGCAATAACTTATTTATTAATTTTCAGTACACCGTTTGTTGTATAAGTGAAGAAGAAGATTCGAGCCCCGGAACACTTTGTTTATTGTCCTGAGATTTCAGACTCGTACAGGAGTCCATCGTCAGTGGTAGTAGCAGCAGCAGAACAAGCGACAGTTATAAGGCATGTGGGCCCAATCATCGGCCGACGGCGCACGACTGGAAGTGATTACGCAGGGCCCTGTACGCTCGCGCCAGATCGATAACTGGATTGACCGAGTTCTCATCGGAGGCCCAGGCTTCAATCAATTCTCGGCCTGTTTTGTTTCCGGCGTGGGCGACTATTTTGGTGGCTGCAAGGTTAAACTCGTCACCTATTTCGTAGGGGATGGGCGGCCACTTGTGATAACGCGTCGTCTCGCCGCACAGCTATCTTATGTTCGTGTATGCGCGATCTGAGCATGCGTCCAGTCTGTCCTGTGTAGTTACATGGACAATTTTGACACGGAATGCGATACACTACTCCAGATTGCTCTTCAGGCTTTAACCGGTCTTTGATTTTCATTACTCTATTGCGCATGGTGGCTTTGGGTTGGTGTGCAGTTCCAACACCTAGCTCCGCAGCAATGCGTTCTGTCGCTTCTGAAACGTCCTTGATGTATTGCAGTGAATGCCATATCGTCGGTGGCGTTTATGTTCGAGTTCTCTGATGGCGAACGCGTAGGCAGCGACTTATGAATGCCCTCGGATAGCCATTTTGCACAAACTGGTCGCGGAGATAACAGGTCTCACGTGCTCTGTCCTCTGGTTTGCCGCAATGAGTTTGGATCCGTTTGAAGAGCGTCTTCACAAAACTTCGTTTTTGAGCCACCTGATGGTTGCTGTGAAAACTGAGAAGCTGTGTGACGTTCGTTGCCTTCCTATAGACCGTCGATTCAAGTTAACTGTTAAGGTTTCGTCTGACAAGCAGATGTTTTTTTTTCAAGACTACCGGTGATAGGATGGACGTTGAACAAAAGGCACCAAGCAGTGGAAGGCAACAGCTGGTTAGATCGTGTTAACCATGTTTCAGGTCACTTAATTAGATTTGCTGAGTCAGCGCTGGCCAGCGGGAGGAGGGGGCGGCTTCATGAGCAGAGGCCCTTGGATGCAAATGTGCAGGGGCAGCAAGGAGACATTAAAATGCAGGCTGCGAGTGTGGGTTGAGTGCATTCAAATTCCCGAAAAGGCTAAATAAAAAAGGAAGGAGTGTCTGGAGTGTTTAACAGTTCCTACTAACTAAGATTTTTCAAGCTGGGTATAATGAAGGCTGGTATTTTTTCTTTTTTCAATGTAAGTTTGCTTTTCTATCCATTCTTTCACGGCTGCAGTATCGTTCTTATGGAATGTTCGGAGTCTACTCTTATGGCATAGCCTAAACTTAAGTCACGATTTCGGAATAGGGATTTATGATATTTAGAATTCAAAGTGGCAAGCGAACGCTGTTTTCGATAACTGCTCGTCAGGACAGGACGGGGTACAATGAGTGAAAGAATCAATAAAAGTTGGTTTTTAAACTACAGGCTAGGTAGGAGCGGAAGGGCGTAGAAAGTTGCATGTGGTTAGTCAACCTTTGAACATGGTAAGCGCGAAACCTGAACGAGGTTCTTTTGAGCGCATAGGGTCGGTTTTCGTAACCTGATGGCGACCGCTTCTGCTCTTGCTAACAGGCGCTGGCCCAGTAGCTTAGGATAGCTCGAGGGGACCTTATAAATCTCACGAAATGCTTCAGCGGGATCCACACGATGCCCTGAATCCACTGTATGCGCAAGTATGGCGCTGTCTATTCTCCTAGTTTCAGCTGTGACTAACAGTTAGGGAAGGTGTTCTTGTATTCTTTAGAATAGACGCCGACTCGTACGATCACTATAACCTGCTCCACAGGAGCAAGTGAATGAGTAGATGCACACTGAGGCGGTCTGAAGTGGCAGCCTATCCTTGCCTTCTCCGCGTAAAATAGGCTTAGTGGAGAATGATATGCGAACCCTTGCTGGCGGGAAGGTTGCCGAGACAGCTTGGTCAAGGCGTCTTCTTAGGAGTTCGCTTACAGCGTCTCCTTGGAATGGGACTCTGAGGAACAACGTTTTTTTTCGGCGGTCAGTGTGGTGGGTTTTGCGGGTCATTCGGAAAAGTTCTTTGCAATGAACCTGCCAGGATACCCATTTTCGCGAAACAGGACCTGGATTTTTCTAAGTTCCTCCTCGATACTATCTGTTGAACAAATTTTTTTTGGCCCTTTGTGCCGAAAACCTGGCTAGATTTCGTTTTTTGTTGGAGAGGTACGAAACTAGCGAAGTTCGTGTATTGTTCAGATCAGATCTTATTCTGATAGACGCTCCTTCGGATGCTACCGCCAGATCACCTGTTTAGAAGAACATCCAATAAAGCAAGCGAACCGGCAGATTTCATCTCCAACGTAAATTTGATCGATGGATGCGCTCGGTTTACGGCATTTAGGAGGGCAGAAACTTCGGTTTCTGTGATTGCAATCCCAAAGATATCAAGATCAGCCGTTTTCAAGATCTAAGACCTTCGGCGGTTCAATTTGGGAAAGTTGAGGCAGTCGCGGTGATCATTTTAAAGAGAGCAGGGACTAACAGAAGCAGACTTATTGAACTACTCACGTTTCCTAGAGGATGGTCAGCGCGACACGTTCAAGGCGTTAAATGCATAAAACCAAACAGAAAAGATAACTGGCATGCCGAGCCAAGCGATTTTACTCTTCATTCGCTGCCTCGTCCTTTTGGCGGATGTTTGGAGGGCTTGACCGCTGAGTGCGTTAAGAGTCATTAATTCTGCGGTCTAGTGGATCCTTTTCTATCGTCCGGCCGTGACTGCGTGACTTTAGTAATTTCTGCGTGACCATCTTGTCCTGATCTTTGTGTACGTAGTGACAGAAGACTTTATAAGTTCAGGAAGTTCAAGTAGCCTGTTGATAGGGTTGGAGTCTGAGTACCATGCGTCAGCTCTCAGTCATTCTATTCCGGATTTGTCACGATCTAAGGTAGTCGCTCGTTGAAGGCCAAGCGTACTATGGGATAGTTCAGCATGCTTAAGAATAGCGGACAGCGTGTTTGAAGACCCTAGCAATGCCTTCCGGTTTGAGGGTTTAGGTCTAATCTCCAGCATGTCCATTAGTGCCCTTGTGACCTTTCGACGTTTCGACGGTCATTTCCAAGGATGTCTACCATGTGATTCGCGGCAAGGTGAGAGCAGGGACAGTGAATCGCGTGCGAATTCATTTACGGTGGCACTGGACTTTCACAACCTGCCCTCCGTCCCAACCCGGATTTCATATGCAGTGGGGGCGCCGCATCGAGAGAGGAATGAAGAGGTTTACCTCTTCTTACAAGACAGGTACCGATGTGTGCGATCGGCGAGGGTGGATGCGACGCTTGTTCGTTAGTCTCTGTGCGAAGCATTGGCATGTGCTTGACTAGGCCCATGCGTGAGGTGAATGTGCGGTGAAAGTCTTGGCAGAATAATTTGAGAGATGTTCACTTATATGCCGTGGTGGTGCTGCTAAAGGTTTCCATACTGATGGATGAGCAATTATTTGGCCGCCCTTTGGGAAGCCTCTACGTATTCTCAGTTCCGGTGTCTGCACAGGTGTCTCGACAATAATGTGCTACCGAAATGTGTTTCATACAAGCCCCCCGTTAACACGGACTTGACGAGACGAGCAGTATTTCAGAACGGCAGAAGGATGATCCGAGTCCTCCTTCAAGACTGCCACGCGAGACTTCGCAAGTACTGTCAAAGGATTGACCAAGAAAAGACAACATTCTGTGAGATCTGTGAGATCGGTACAAATCTGCTCCTGCAGAGGATAGCTGAACAAGCCCGCTAACAGAGAATGATACGCGACGCAGCACTGGTGAACAAATTCCGAAAGCTGCCCAATCCAACGTCGTCCAGAAACGACAAACTGGTGCACAACCTGTCGTCAGAGGAGCTGACGAATGATCATATGCAGGTTTTACGGCGCGAAGCTTCATTTAACACGGCTGATGCCAAGCCTGTTAACATGATTGCAGTAGTGGAATCAATCCCTTGTCAGACGGAGGCAGCGGATGAGATTAAAAGCCTCGTCCGACACCAATTGTCGTCTCTCCTGATGACCCACAGGCTGCAGGAAGTGCTTTCCAAGGTCGAACATGATGAGCTTAGGTCGACAAAGACCTGGTCATCTAGGCAGCCGACAAAGGGCGCGCTACGATTGTACTGGACAGGACAGACTACCTTCAAAAAGCCAAGGGTTTACTGGAGGACCGACAGTTATATATCTCATGTGCAACAAACCCTGTAAAAGCGCTAACACACGAAATTAATGCTACGTTCATATTGACCCAACTGTGAAAAACTCGGTGCCTGGGCAGTCAACTTACTGTATCAGATTTGGTAGATTCCAGACGTTGCAGTAGGTTGGGCGGGTAAGCTGACACAAATGTGATAAAACTCGAGTCGTCCGTCGGGGCCTGGTAGCCCAGGTGGTTAGAGCGTTGGCTGTACTAAAGCCTTCCCCTTACTGCGTGGGTTCGGATCCCGCCGAGGCACCGAGTTTTTCACAGTTGGGTCAATATGAATTATTCAAAATCTGCCAAAACATCTATGAATAATGCTACGTTGTTGGCCTTAGAGAACTAAGGTGCAATAACACCGACCGACAGACCCATAGCGAGACCCCAAGATATGGCTTTGGCCCGATTCTATGGCCTCCCTAAGGTGCACAAAGACGACGCTCCACTCCGAGCCATCGTGCCACTCAAAGGGACTCCAACGTACGGACTGGCTTAGTGGCTGTTCCGGCGTCTCAAGTTCCTGACCGCAGAGTCAGACACCACAGTCTCTTCGTCAGCACAATTCCCGGAGAAACTCAAAGGGGTAAATCTCCATCCAATTGAGGTCATGGTATCTTTTGATGTTATATCCCTTTTTTATTCTATTTCCCAGGACCTGTCGATCGTGACATTTGAGCTGCTACCACAAAGCAAATACGATGAAACAGAGAATCGCCTTGGACGAGCCCATATCCTTCAGCTCCGGAAACTCTGTCTCAGGACGTACTTCACGTTCGACGGCACAATCTACGAACAGGTGCAGGGCACACCAATGGGTTTGCTGATTTCGGGGTTCATCGCCGAGGCGGTTCTGCAACGGCTAGAGTCGCTGGTTTTCCAACACTACAAACCGAAGCTCTGGGCCCAGTACGTGGATGATACCTTCGTCGTCATCGAACGGGATCAGGTGCTGACATTCAAGGAACGTCTGAATGCGGTCTTCCCGTACATACAATTTACGATGGAGGAGGAAGAGAGCAACCAGCCGGCCTTCCTGGATGTTCTCGTATGCCACGAAGATTGTGGTGGACTAAAGACCAAAGTTTTCAGGAAAGCGACAAATAGGATCTAAGTACTAAACTTCAACAGCTACAACCCAATCAGCCACAAACGCAGTTGTGTAAGGACGTTCTAACGGCGTGTCGACACGCAGTGCAGTGAGCCGGAAGACAAGATTGCCGAACTACAATACCTCCGACGGGTATTCAAAGCCGATGGCTACCCGCACAACTTTGTCAGCCGGTGGATACGTAAAAGGGAAGAAAGGCCTAGCCGAAAGTAAACCAAATCTTGGCGGGCGCTTCCGTATGTCAAGAACGCTTCGGAAGCTGTTGGCCGCCTTCTCGCACCACTTGGGGTTGGAGTTGCTAACAGGCCGGAGGCAACCATCAGGCGTCAGTTGATAAAACCAAAAGACCCACTGCCACGGCAAGAAACGTCTGGAGTCGTTTATCGGATCTGGTGCAGTAGCGGACAAAGCAACTACGTCGGAATAACCGGAGGACATCTCCGAACGAGAATGGCCGAACACGCGGAACGGTGCGCAGAAATGACGCCAGCTCTCGAGTTGCGGCTCATTCGACGAGATCCGGCCACATATGCAAATTCGACGAGGCCGAAATTATCGCAAGAATTGACAACCGCGTGAGCCGGGAGCTACTTGAATCATGGTTTTCTGGCCCCCAGTCGATTAGCAAGTTCAACGAACTTCCCCTTCCATACTCGGTGCTGAGACTTCGCCAAGGCGCAATAATTATCCACGGGCGGAGCACCCATGTGAACACTTGTCCCAACAGCAGGGTCAGGGCGTCAGATGGTCGAGCCATCATCACACCAACATCCAACGCACGTGATGAAATTGCGGCAATTAACGACGCAAATGTCGGCCAGCAAGCAGTCAGCGCACCAAGTGCGACGATCCCGGATGAGGATGGGGGAGCCGTGAATGTTCATAGGTATGCGGTAGCATGGCTACTGCATCCTATAAATACTGCAGCCCCTTGTGCGTGAATCAGCCGTATCTGCTGGTCTCTGATGATGGATTCGAGCAGGAATCCGAAACGTCAGGCTAATAAAGCTCTCGTCCCAGCGATCGTGTCTCCTTCTTCAAGAACTGGTGTATGTGCAAGGCGTGTTAGTTGTGTCGATACTGCGGTGCAGTCAGCTCCGTAGAAACACATGTAACCGAACAAGCCCATGCAGTGAACGAGTGTGTGGAGACAATATAAACACTAAAAGCCAATGCAGCGAGTATAATGTCGGGGGGCTACGGCGCTGCTGCGTCCGTCGCGGTGCGGGGGATTCGCAGGTGACCGACCAGGCCTGCGTGTGAGGTGAATGTGCGATCGTAGTGAGGACAGGTTGGGGCCAAGTCGCATCGATGGAGGAGAAGGTGGTGACGGTGAGGGTGGTAGTTGATGGGATATCGGAAACCTTTTGACCGGAAGCAGAATTAGGGGTTGTGATAGTCGTCGTCGCCGTGGGGATTGAGGCAGACATGATGGACGTAGAGGTGATTTACGGCGGTGGGTGCAGAGATTGGGAGCAGCAGTGGTGAGAGTGGGCACCGTCGTGGAACTCGTCGGTGTTGGTGCAGCTGCGGCTGATGCGCTGTTGCTGCATCAAGTCCGGGGATTTCCGACGAGGCCAAATCGCGCAACGAGGACATGCTGGGAATTATGAGTTTCTCTCTTGGCTTCCGCAGCGGCGTTTCGGTTGATTTCACAGATTGCTGTCCCGGTCCTTACTGCTCTTCTTCCAAATGAGGTCTTTCCGGGTCTTTGGTTCGATTTATAATTGCTTCAAGGAGTTTTTCAAAGTGTTCTTGTAGCAGCAGGTTCGATATATTTGTCGGTGTGGGGGAACCGGTGAAAATATCTCCGTAGAAAAGTTGTTTTTAGGCGCTCATCATCGATCATCACGAGGTCACCAGTCCGGTCTAGTTGCAAATGCCTCAACATGGCGTGGACGTCCAGGATTCCGGTCCGTTCAAAAATTTCCGTACCTGGAATCCTATCCTGCTGCCTCAAATTTAGTATCAGACAGATGTAAATGAGGTGGAAGTGATTGAGCTTGCGCCGCTGTTTCTTGTAGACTAGTCACGTTTCCGCTCCATGCAGCGGCGTTTTTAAGGTAGCAGTTTTGTAAATCTTGATTTTGTTGTTGAGATTGACAATGTTGCGATTTGATACGGAATTCTGCAGCCACCTCAAGGCCTGGCTGACTTTCGTGATCTGGTGAGTCATTTTATTGTCAGTTTTGATGCAGGTTGAGATCGCATTACCTAATTAGGTGAATGCGCCTAGGATTTTAATTTGAGAACTACTGACGGCTGGCTGTTGATGCATGACCACCATTCTCTCCGGGGTGATGGCTGACCGGAATTTGACGCAGCGGGAAGCGAAGAGGTCCGTGCTCCTTTGCATATCCTCATCGATCGCAGTGTTCAGTCGTCCGCGAAGATCAGATCATAGAGAACCGCATTGAGGCCTGTAGGTGGCCGTCAGTCCTGTAGACGATGCGGCCCCGGGGCACTCATCGGCATAGTAGAAAATATAAGGCTTAGATGTACTGGGAAAAGTATGCAGCCCTGCTTCTCTCTTTTAGTCACTGAAATGCTTCAGAGACGGTCCGTTCCTCCCTGACGCTCGCCATCGTTCCGTTGTGGAGCTGTCGTATCATGTGCTGAAATCGCCGAGTGCTACTGAATTTTTAAACAATTTTCCAGAGTGCATAGCAATGCACCGTGTTGAAGGCTTTCATCAAGTCCACGAAGGTATCGTGGAGGTGGATTCGCATTTTCTGGCAACTCCACTGCAGCTGGTGAGCGGAGAAGATCAGGTTGCTGGTACCGCGATGGCGTTGAAAGTCACATTGGCTCTTCGAAGGAAGTTTCTGCCCGAGACATTTGAGGAGGATGCGAGCGAAGTCCTTTCCGGTGACATTTAGCAATAAGGTGTCTCTTCAGTTATCAAAGAACTGCCGATTCCTTTTCCACTTGCGGAGACGAACGATGGTCGCATCCGTGAAGACCAGAGGAATTCGTCCTCTGCGCCAAATCTCCTGGATGAGTTTTATAAGTCAGTCCATTAGTCAGAGACATGTCAACTTCGGCCGGGATCGCGCGCCGGATTGCGGTGTTTTTTTGCTGGAGAGTTGGTGCCCATCTCCGATTGGTTCTGGGAGGGGAGGTGGGTAGCCGATCGTTTCCACTGGAGGACATCGGCCGATGACCGCGAGGGAGGTTGAGAGTGTCCGAGTGCTCGTGTAGTCGATTTTGTAATGGTTGTCCCAAGGCAGTTGCAACCGCCCTCCTTCAACGTGGCAACTCTTGACAGCCGCAACTGTCAAGGCCACCAAACGTCCGCTGAAAAGTTCTGGGTCAGATGTAGTTATGTAGCCCCACCTGATGTAAACAAACCCCAGCCGCCTGCAATGCGGGACCGGTGGTAATAGGGGTTTTTCCAGGTGCGGCTGGCGAACGCACGGGCGACGAGGTCAAGCAATTGTATGCGAAAAAGAGCTGTTGGGGAGGCGCGTCTCTACTTTGAATGGTTGAGATACAATTGCCCTAACCCCCAAACCTTGAACCAAGCGCCAAACCCTAGCCGCGACCCCAGCTCCAACTCTAAGCCTTAACCGCGGCTCCAACCGAACATTAGGGCTACACAACCACATCTTACCAAGTTTCGTGGGAACGAAAAATCGAAAAACTCCACCAGCCCAATGTCGATTAGCTTAGGATGTTACTTTCCGTTCTGATCGATTTTTCTGCTTTTAATCCCTTGACTTTGATGAGCCAACCAAGCTCTACGAAAGATCAACAGTAGAATACACTTGTCTGCGTCCAGCGGCAGGGACACCTTCTGAGTTCGACGACTTACAATAGTAATAACTCTAGTCACAACGAAGATTTTCCTTCTGGGTGTTTCGGGTTCGATTCCCAAAATAAGTTTTTCTGTTTACGATGGTGTTGGAGACTGCAAAACCTGGCCTAACGCCTACTAAATTAAAAATTCTTTGTTTGGTGGAGATCGCGTTTGCTGAAAACAATGCGGAAATCGAGGATAACGGTCATCTGCTCGTTTTGTTCGCCAATTTGGCGCACTTTCGGCGTTTTTGTAAATGCACTGGAGTCCTTAGCCATAGCCTCTTGGTTATTCTGTTACTGATCAAATTCTGTTCCGCTTTTAAACGTAGTCAACAGGGACACATTTGTTTATTTTTTGCGAATGAATCCACGCAGATTCTCGATACCAGGGAACCATCGTTCGAGCAAAACACTCGAAAAGACCTGCTCTCCCGCCAAATGAGTACAAGAAGGAATACTCTTGTGTATATTTTATGTAAAACACATTTAAGCCTATAGGGGTATCGAAAATAAATGGGCCAACTTTATACTACTCAAGTGATCATTTTTTCCGTGCGGGGTTTATGCCGGTGGCCGAAATAAGCTAATTCGAAGGCCAATGCCCTATCATGACTGAAACATTTTATAATTATACAGCCCCACAGCAGCTATTGCAGCCGCATCTGAGTGACCCTTTCTAACTAAAAACATATTTCAGTATTTCAGGTGAAGTTTCGTGAGATAGGCCAGAGAAAGCCACTTGTGATTTAATAATGGCTGCCTTTTTGGGAGGCTGACTATCCTCGCCTTTTTCAAATTTTGCATTCTTCTCACTACAGCATCAGACCCTTCCGCATCTAATTTTCGTTCATTAGCATACGTGGCAGCTTACTTCAATGGAATTATCATTTCTTCCTCGAAGCTTTTTTCATCTGCCTAGTTGTGAGTCATCAACGTGAGTTAATTAGGCCGGTGATAGCAAATATCAGCTCTCACCTGCTTCAGAGCGATTTTGCTAATCCGGATGTTCTGTATACTTGATGATAGTTCGTGGAAAAGAGACACAAAATCGGAGGAGGATTCAGTTTCTGTATTAAGAACGTTTACTAAATCCCGTACTTTGAAAAACACTTCCGGCGACTAAATCCGTTCATAGGCTTCCGTTGAAACATCACCCTGAATTGCTTTATTTGTAGTTGAAAGTGCGTCATTTTGCACATAATATCTAGATCGAGTTATATACAGCAGGTGGACTATCTCATGAAATGCCAGCCGAAGTGGGGACATGTGTTTTCAACTAGAAAGTATTACTTGAGGGGTATTGCAGCATTGATTAACTCGGTTTTCAATGAACTTATTTCCGACTACCAGCATAAACCACACTCGGTAGAAAATGTCCACTTCAGTTGTTAATATTCTCCCGCAGGTTTTCGACATTTCAATGAATTTAAATATAATTTAAAGCAAAAAAAGCACAGAAATATCTTTTTTCGCATACATTTGGTAAAGACAAGGGAGACTGGAATGGCCATTTCTGGCTTATTAGCCGTCGTCAGCCAGCCACACCCAAGCCCGAAGTGTGGAACACCCGAGCCTCGAACTCGCGACCTGTTGGTTTAGAAGTCAACGCCTCTACTCACCGGGCCACGAGCCCGTTGCCTTGTCGGTTTTCGATCGGGAATATACAGTGGTAGGGGGCGCTCACCGATCGTTCATACGGAACTCACTCGTTCCGTTGTGCCTTAAGAGCTCTCTCTCGAGCCCAACCAGCAGCCGCACAGCGGCGCATGATACATAGGCAGAATAACATTACCGACAAAGACAAGGGAGACTGGAATGGCCATTTCTGGCTTATTAGCCGTCGTCAGCCAGCCACACCCAAGCCCGAAGTGTGGAACACCCGAGCCTCGAACTCGCGACCTGTTGGATACAGGCAAAAATGCTGACCCCAGGTGTTAATATGGAAGAGGAGGATGAGGCGATCTCTCTGTATATATATTGAGTACGCGCGACATGGCGCCACTTTTCTGTGTCACGCCGTACAATAAGGATATCCAGACAATGTCTCTCAACAGTTAATTACGAAAGGATACGGAAATTAGCAGCGGAAGGGTTGTCTCACGAGTCGTTAACGAGTATTTTTAATATTAGTAAGGCTACTCTGTGACGAATACTTGATGACAGAACCGTACATAGAAATAAGCAGGGTGGACCAAAAAGGTCTACAGGTAAGCAATACAACAATCTTATTCGTCGTACATTAAAGAAGCATTATTATGTGCCCATTAAGACCACTCATAGGGAACGTCTGACGTTATTCGCTCTGGACATACTTAGGAAGCAGGTGCGGGAATTTCTACTTCATCAACAAAAAGTCATGATCAATCTGTTTTGAATTAGAACACTTATTAGAAAACGTTTTTATTTGCCAAGGAGCGTATCGATTTGCCGGCCCTCATTCTGGGAGACCATTTGCTTCCGTCTTATTTTAAGTCAAGCTAATGAAATCGACCCAGATGGCCATTAGTGGAAAAACCTTTCCAAAAAAGCACACTGCGCCGACAGCATCATTCAAGAATTGTAGGCGGTTAATGGTCTGACTGACGATTAAATTCAGAGAGTGACCAGTCTGACGGTCGGCTACGGACACCATCAACAGTAAGGTGTTTGTCAACATTGTGAGGGATGTTGTCGATTACAACGACATCCACCGACGCAGACTGAATACCATAATTTTACACGACAATGCACCTGTCCCTCGTTCTTAAGAAGTATGAATCTTATAATGCATTTAACATTAATTTGCCCTTTTAGACAACAGCCAGCCATTCCGCAAGTAGACTCCAGTCAATTTTCATCCCTGCTAACAGTCCGGATCTCACTCCCGTCGAAAGTTTTTCGCACCAATCAAAAGACATTGGCACGAGGCGAATAAGATACTGTCCATGCATGAAAAACTTGATTTTTTTTCTGGAAAATCACATTGAACAAGCCAGTGAAGACAACCTGACCATCTCCATGCCTGAAGGACTAACTGCCAAAATTGATGCAAATGGGCAATCAACAAAGTGCTGCTCGTTTGCACTTGTTATTATTTTTCATTACTTTCACCATTCCATGCGTTCCCCTCCATTTTGTGCTCTTCAAGTTAGCCCTATTTAAGCGACTTGTAATATGGCCATTTTCTAAACTTCTAGTTTTTAGTGAAAATTAACTATTTTTACCTTAATAAATATTAATTTACAATCCCAACTATGCTTTCTTATTAAGAACAGTCGTCTTTTACTGCCAAGGGATTTTGATGAACGCGGATTTCGCGTTATAGGAATTTCCTTTTGCTAGCTCATGGCATTTCGTGAGTTAACCCACCTACCGTAATTTCATCCTGTGGCACAATCTAGTAAACTGCAAGCTTCCTTGACAGATGCTGATAGAAGTGGCAGTCTCGTAACTCAGAAGGTTAGAGCGTTGGCCCTTGCTGTCATGGGTTCGAACCCCACCGAGGCACCGATTTTTCACAGTTGGGTCAAAGGGAATTATTTGAAATCTGTCAAAACACCTCTGGATAGCAGTATTGTCGCGATCGCGATTTTGTTATATTTGTTTAGAGTTGGACTTCGTAGTATGGCTAGAAATACGCTACATATTGTTCAAATAAATGCCAGAATATTGCTCACACTGCGAAGGCTGAGTCCTTTCAGCTTTTAAAGTACCTATTAACTGAGAGCACGCTGCGCAGAAAATTTCTCCTTATATGCATAACAGTTATAGTGGCCAATTAGTGGTGAGCCTTTCGGAGGAAACGTATGAGAAATTTGCACTTGCCAGCAAAGTGCGGGGGTGCTTAAAAAACTTGCGTGCAAGCGTTACCACTGTCTTTTAGGGTATATGTTTATAAAGCTGTCAATTTTCGCAGAACAGACTTCATTTTTTCTGGAAGTAACCTGCTTGTATCGTAGCTGATTTACATTACGAAAAAAAACTGTTGTCATATGGGTGAAAATTGTTTTGGTAAATGATTTGTGTGTGGGCTGAGGCCCTGTGGTAGAGAACGCACGTGAATGCATGGATGTGGTTAAGGAGATTAATCAACGTAAGC